TATAGATATACTGTTAACACTCATTTAGGAGTTTAATGTCTTTGAAAGAAAAATTAAACTTAAATGAAAAAAAGGTAAAATGGCAATTTTCTTACAAACGCATCAGTTTTTTATTACTCAGTTCAAATTTACAAAATGATTAAAATTGTATATATATATAGATGTATTGTTATATAGATGTACTGTTATATAGATATACTGTTAATATTCACTTAGAAGTTTAATGTTATTGAAGCTAAACTTAAATTAAAACGATACAATGTCAAATATTTGACAAACTGTTCAGTTTTTTATTTTAAGAAGACAAAGAAACTCCTGGATAAATACCCCCAGAGGTATGATTTGTCATGAGAACATGGAGGACTTTATGACCTGTCAGATTTAACATGCATCAGTCACCATTTACTACACGGGAGTCTTAGGCTGGCGAGGATCGATTACATGACCTCTTGGACCTGGGCCTAGTGCCCTACCAACCAGGTCATTGTGTATGTCAGTGTATCAGTGCTTACGATATGATTTGAGTATTGACTCTACGGTTATTGAAACTCCAAGACTACGATTTGGATCCGCAATCTTGTAATTTTGAATCCAATTCAGAAGATAAAAGGAATAGCAGGATAAAAAAAATTTAAAAATAATATAAAATAAAAAATTTTGAAACAAATTAACCTTCGATCGAGACTTTTTTGGGAATTAACCAATGCTTGCGTTGCAGGGTGAGGAGCGCAGCGAAAATCTCCAATGGTTAGTCTGACGGCATTTGGATTCTAACCCATGATTCGTTTTTTATATGTATTTCACGTCAGCACTGAGGTCATTGCTAGCAAGGAGAAGAATTTGATTCGAGTATCCATCGCTGGGATTTGAACCTAAGTCATCTCCAGATGAGAATGAATTATTTGACATCTTACAAAAGACAACTCTGAATACATTCCTAAGTATATAGAGTAAATATTTCTTTTATGAAAGGCCATTGAAAAAAAATTCAGAAAAATTACATAACTAAGAATACCTTACGAAGAATTATCACTTTTATCATTGCAGTAGTTATGATTTTATCATTATAGTTCAATCACTTGTCATTACAAAAATATCAAGAATGAGCGATCCACCCAAGAAAATTAGGCGCCACTACAAACACATCGTCACCACAAAAATTCTGGCGGAAAAAAAAATCGGTACCAAGATGTTTAGGGTGTTAAGTAGGTGCATGGTGTCAATCGTGGGTAGTGATACAAATATAATTTAATTCTTATTAAAGTAATTATTATTTATTCATCGCAATTTCATCATTTCCCAAATTACAATTTCATTATTCTAGTTTAATCATTTCTCAAATTATAATTTCATCATTGCAATTAAATCATTTCTCAAATTGCAATTTCATCATTGTAGTTTAGTCATTTCTCAAATTATAATTTCATCCTTGTAATTAAATCATTTCTCAAATTACAATTTCATCATTGTAGTTTAATCATTTCACAAATTATAATTTCATCATTGTAATTAAATCATTTCCCAAATTACAATTTCATCATTGCAGTTTAATCATTGCTCAAATTATAATTTCATCATTGTAATTAAATCATTTCTCAAATTACAATTTCATCATTGTAGTTTAATCATTTCTCAAATAATAATTTCATCCTTGTAGTTTAAGCATTTCACAAATTATAATTTCATCATTGTAATTTAATTATTTCGCATTAAAATTAAAATTTCATCATTGTAATTTAATTATTTCACACTAAAATTGTGATTTGATCAATATAATATTATCATTTATCTTTAAAATAATGGTTTAATATACCAAGAAATATGTTGTATTTCTTAACATGATGTAATTAAAATAATGAACATTTAAACGATTTTACCGGTCATAAAAATAATACTTTGACGTATCAAGTTCTTATTAAGTTTAGAACTATTAAAATAATTATCATAATAAATGATATTTTTACTCAAATTAGTTATTTCATTAGTTTTAGTAGTTTCTACATTGAAAAATTATTTATACTTCTTTCCTATACTTGGCCTCAATAAATAGTATTACTATTATTTTTTGGTAGTTAACAGTATTGATTTCATATATAGTATTTAAAATAGTTGGTACCGATAATTCCATTTGATACTAGGAAAGTATCGATACTGCCCACTGGTATCGATACTTTCCTTTGATGGATTCAAAAAATTATATCCTTGTCCTTATAATAATACAGCGGTAAAAATTAATTTTTAAAAAAATTCTTTTAATTTAGCTATAACTTCGAAGAATAGGTTTCTAATCTTCTTTCCTTTAGTAAAGAATATCTAAATATTTACTTTTTTGGAAACAAAAGAAGTCGATTTCAATCTTTCATTAAACTTTTTTATATTTTAATTCTAAATGCAATGAATAACTTTATTCAAGTTCATTCACAGGGTTTCTTTTTCTTTTCACTCTTACTTGAAAATGAAAAACATGAAAATGTCTACGAGACAAAGTAAACATAGTCTAGACAAACTTTCAATGAATTTCAGAAGAAGAAATTTTTAAACCAAACCAATGTAAACCCAATTAGTTAAGTTTAAAAAAATGTGCACAAAACTTTGCGTGCTTGAAATTGTATTTATTTTTTCAAGTTAACCTGCCACAGACGTTAGGAATCAAATTTAACTGGTGTTTTAATCAATGAATATGATACAACATTTCAAGCGAAATAGGCAATCAAACAAATGCTTCTCTGCAGTAATAAGAACTGTAAAAAATACACTAGTCATTAAAGGAAAATAATTTGAAAGATACATAATTACTATCTAATTAGTGGATTAAATACAGCCAAATTTTCAAGCAAGTCAGTTTTCTAACTTTAGGAGAAACTATCACTGATAAAACGTTGATAACTGATCGTTTAATAGATATGAATTTTTGAATTGGAATTGTGACAAATATTTTAATATTTATATAAATCACGATTTTTTTAAAATTTTGTTTACGCACTATTATTTTATTGATCAAAAATTTTTTAGATTGGTTGAAAAATTTGGTAGACATAAATTGCTATTAATACCGCAGTTTTAAATTTGTTGACTAATTCTTAGATTGAATAAAGTAATTGCTTTGACTGTATTAAATCCAACTACTAATTGCTATTTAAGTGGATTTAATACAGCCGAAATTTCAAACAAATCGGTTTTTAAACTTTAAGCAAAACTATCACTGATAAAGCTTCAGTTAATAAATATAAATATTTGTATTTGAAATGTGATAATTATTTTAGTAATTTTCTCTATCCCAATTATTTTTTTTAGTTTATGCACCGTTATTCTCTTAATAAAAATTTATAGAATGGTTGAAGAATTCAGGATTAAATTGCTTTGAACACCCCATTTTTGAATTAGCTGACTAATTCTTAGATTGAATAACGATAAAACAAATGTTCTATCACTCAATTCAATTACATATCTGTATCAACTAGCCAAAACTTTAATATTTTTTAGGCTTTTATTAAAATTAGGAAAGTTTTCTAGATTCCTTTTTTGTTCTGAGAATTTGTGAATCAAATATAGTTTGGTCTAAGAAAACATTGTATGTTTTTTTCCCTTAAATGTTTCATAATTTCAAATTGAAAGCTTAAAATACTATTTGAAATGCAGGAAAAAATAAAAAATAGCTACACCCTATGCTTGGCGCCCCTTTCTAACTACCGAAGAATATACTACGCAATCTTATAAAGTTAAGCTACTGAAATAATCTCACTACCGAGTCAGACGTAAACTTTAAATGTAAACTTTGAATCGCTCTCCTACCCAAACTATGGGGACTATATTTCTCAGATTGCGGCTACCCCCTAAGTTTCGTGAGTCAGAAATCCTAATCCGTTGTAAAAAAGGTATGTTTATTTAGCGAAAGTACGTTTTTGTGGCAAATTTCGTAACTTAAAATAGCACCTGCACTACATAATTAGCATATTTGAGGTCACCCCCTCGAGTCATTAAGATGGAGACCTAGAACGTGAAGATCTGATCATTAGATTAAAAGATTTTCAGATTGGTCCATTTTTTTCCTCACTAAACAATCATTTATTAAAAAAATTTAAAAAAAAAACATTTCTCCTTTTGCAGACATATATTTTAAACATAATAGACTGCTTTTTAGAATCTTCATTTCGAAAACATTCGTTTATGAAAATCAAATCGTTGCCTTCCAAATAATCAGTCAACTAAAAGTTATTATTGTTTTCAATAACTACAAGAATTAAAATAAAGTAACATATCTTCTCTTATTCAGAAATATTTTTTTTCTAATACATAAATTTTTAAAATACGGTAAGCATTAGACTGCCATTAGCATATGAAAACCCTTTAAGGTTATAAATCGTTAATGAAAATGAAGTTTTTAAGGTAATTATTATTGTGAGACTGGAGCCATGGTGGCTCACCTGATAGAGCACTCGCTTTCCATTGAGGGGTCCCAGGATCGAATCCCAGCGATGGTTGGTAGATGAGAATTCCACACCCGGCTTGCACCGGCAGCAGTGCTGACGTAAAATATCCTCAGTGGTAAACGGATCATGGGTGAGAGTCCCTTGCCGTCAGACTAACCGTGGGAGGTTCATGTTGTCCTCCTCTCCATGTAACGCAAATGTGGGTTAGTTTCCTCAAAGTGTCCTCCACGGAGGCAAATTTCTCCCAATACTTGATCCAGGAATTCCTTCTTCCTCTGGATTGGGATCAAAATTACAAGGTAGCGACGTTGAAAATTAATAGTCATAAACTTAAAATTGGATCGATTGGTCAACGGCAGTTATAAAATAAAATGCTATTGCGAAACAAACTTTCCAATCTTTTATACTTTATTTAGTTAAATGCCCTGTACTCAACTGGAAATCTGCTTCAAAAATCCTGACTAAGAACAGCCTTACTTAATATTTTTTAAGAATGACGAAAGGGTTAAAAATAAAATCTTATTAGTGCCTGATTCATTCAAAGCAAAAATATATGTAATTTTATCATACCTCCGATTTTGATTTGTGCTGTTCCTTGAGCTCCGTCCACGTCATTGTAAGCGAAACACTGATACATGCCTTTATCTTCTCTCCTCACAGACGTTATGTGTAGAACATCTCTCGTTAACAATTGGACTCTCGAGTTGGCAACCAAGTGTCTCTGGTCTTTCCGCCATGCAATTGTATGCACTGGGTGGCCACTCACCGAACAGTTCAAGACAGCAGTTTCACCTATATTCAGTGTTTGGTGCTCTGGTATGATTGTAACACGAAGCGGTGCTGCATTTAGAAAGAAAAGTACCCATTAGTGTGTATTTCTAAACCTATTGGAGTGAATCATTTTATAAATAAACATTTCAATTTGAAACTCTTGCATGTTTATGTGTGATAATTATTTAATCAGTGATCTGACCTGATCTTGAAATTCATGTAATCTCCAAATGGCACCCTCTTTGTGCAATTTAAAAAGAAAAGATGTAGTTTGAAATGTTCTTAGACTGTTTTTTATCGAGTTGTTTTCAACGCTGAAAATTTTAAAATAAAATTTTTAATATCACGTCGGTAAACGTTTTATTCTAGTCACAGCTCGATATGCGCGTTTAAGAAAAAGGACACAGCTCGAGATGCGTGTTTAAGAAAATTGACGCAATTTGAAATTAGCTTTTTCAATGCTCAACTCGAATTTAACTCTTAAACGAGTAAGTTTTTTCTTAGTTTTTCTTACTTTTTCAGCACTTAGTATAATCATTATGAGACCAAATCCTGGAATACCGGGTTGGGGTGTTCAATTTTCTTAAACATCTTTGTACAATTTCTTTGATATGCATTTCGAGTTTCGTAATTTTGCTTTGGAGGTGTGTCCACTTTCTGAAACATGCATTTCGAGATGTGTCCATACTCCTGAACACGCACTTTAAGTTGGATCCAGTGTCTTAAAAGCGTATTTCGAACTTTTTCAAGAATAAAAAGCTCGCAGACGAGATATTCTTGTTTGTTCTAAAAAAAAATTTCTGAAATTTTTTTATAAATTATTTATTTTAATGATTTACAAAATTTGCTTGCTCCATATCTAATTAACAGGTGCTTAAATTTTATTTGTAAACTTTGCATTAAAAAATGTCACACTATATACTAATATTTTCTTTTAATATTAAACTGGACCTTATGTAAGTACTCTTTAAACCCAATTCTCAATGAATAATGTTCTTTTTTTTGTAAAGTACGAGACGTAAATTATGAGATAACGACTAGATTACGTCTCGTACAATGCAGATGAGCTAATATTTTTCAATCTGTAAGTATTTAAAACAATTTTAATCACCTCAAATTTTGGTGATAGAGAGGGGTGGCTAACTTCCTATTGTTGCTAAGAAACATCCATCAAATAGGTTTGCCATAATTTTGCTCTCCGAGACGTTTTCCACCGACATGCTAGGCTTAGCAGAAGCCAATAGCAAAGTAACAGTATGGGATGGATGATGATTGTTCTGCGCTAAAATTATCTCACAATGTCTTTCAAATCAGAGTAGTTAAAATTTCGGCTAGACTGAATTAAGGCTGAATTTTTCGTTAGAATATGAATTAAAATAATATGATATAGTTTTCCCACGTGAAAATCACGATTTCTTTGGTCATCATCCGCTTAAATTTTTAAACAAATTACTTTATTATTTTTTATTTGCTGTTATTATTTTTTATACTTAATCTAAAGAAATTTGACTTTATTCTCTACCGTATTTCGTGCTCTGAACCGTAGGAGGCAATATTTGTAGAAGTTGTTTCAACTTCCGGTAGAAGTTGTGGTGGAAGCTGTTCTGTTTTTGGAGGTACTGAAGTACTGATTTGTTATCTGAATTTAAGATGCTTAAATTCCTTAAAGACTCATCACACCGAATTCAATGAAGAGAATGCGTTAAAGAGAACAAAACTGGAAAAAAGGCCACGTTCTGCTATGACATCGAATGAGAGCAGCAAGACTTTGAGTAGGATTTTTTTTAAGATAGATGGAGAACAGAGATGTCCAAATCAGAGGTTAAACTTTTTGACCTGAGCCAAATAAATAACTTAATTGACGTAATTTTGTGGTTGGGAATAGCCACCACAAAATAATCTAATCGGAATCCTTCTACGATTCCAACATTCCAACCAGATGATTCTTATTCCAATTCCAATAGAAACGTGTTTCTAATCGTTACTACTGGTAAATGATTGATCGTTGCTGAATTTTCATTGGGCAGAAAAGTGAAGTTTGACGTCAGCTTACATATCTCTATATTATATCAGGGCTAAAGAGAATGGAAGGGCTAGTTCACTCCGCTCTTAGAGCTGAAGCTATGATTTCCCTCCTCATGACGTCACTTTGTCTACAGATCTCGGAGATCGCAAGCGAAGATATTATGATAACTTTGCATCTTTTTCTTTGTAAAAATCTTTACAAAGAGAACTGGCTTCAACTGTTTTCTGGTTATTAGCTTTCAAACTTTACGTAATTAACACATTATTTCCGTTCATAAACATAGTTCAAAAAAACCTTCTTGGCCATTATATTAAAAAAAAATACCATTTTAAACTTATAAAAATATTTTACTAGTTGGCGAAAATGACACTATAAATACTTTATTTAAAAAAGTTCAGTTTTAACTTTAATTATTAAGAAAAATGAAAGCATATATCGAGACTTTTTTATCTACATATTCTTTTATAACAATAAGTTGAGTTAAATTTAGAATCCCTGATTTTAAAAATATGCCATTAATTTGTTCATACTTAATCATTAGGAAACATCAACCTTAAACGCTAATTACTGAAACAAAATTATAATTTAGGCTCATAATGACATTAGAAATTTTACAATTGCTTATAGATATTTAAATTTACGATGATATAATTTATAGATATTTAAATTTAAGAGAATATAATTTTTTAAAAAATCATAAATATTTAGAATAACTACATTAATAATATGTTATGAAATTGGGAGAATTTCAACTATATACTATATATTTTATTTATTCTTTTTATTTACATTTTAATATTCTTTGACTTTATCATTTTTTTTAATTTTTTTCACCCACCTTTCTTTTTGAAGTTACGAGGCTGTTTCTATTTAGATAATGAATTTTTATAAAAGTTCTTAGCGATAGAATAAACGTATTGCTGTTTTATATTAACTGTGTCATTTTGGAATCCATTCTTTACATAGTTGTTCATTTAATTTGGGGAACACGCGGAAAATTATATTTTTTCCTTTTGTTTTTCTATCAGAAATTTTGCAAGTTGCAATCGCGCAAACTGGCATTACGATAATAGTTTTAAATGTTTGTAAATTCACTGCAAAAACTGAGGAAAGTCATTATAGAAAAAACAAATGTCTTAGTTAGAGCTATTAAGGCCGAACACTCCGTTCCTGAAGTAAAAGTGCGAACTTTGCGTTAGAGAAAAACTGAGGATTGGCGCGGCGAGAGTTTCTACAAAGGAGTGAACCAGTCCTTCTATTCTCTTTAGCCCTGATATTATATGCTATAAGCAGATTATATGAAAGAGCTTAAAAACCTGACCGATGGACGGACATAAAGGTTTAGGAGGCACCATGAATTCTATTGAACGCCTTGTGTTCTTGGTACTGTAATATCACAGATTATACAGTCTTGCGACGACTGTATTCAAGAATTTTGAATTGTGTACAGTTCCATCTGTTGAATGTAACTTACAAAATTTCTATATAAACTTTTTACAGCTTTCGAAATGAAAACACCGTTTGTTTCATTAATGTATATATATATTTTTTGTTTCTGCGTTTTTTTTTTTTTAATTAGTCAGTTCTCCTCTGTTTGGCATCCTGTGTTTACTGCTATGTTTTCTTTCCGGTTTGCCTCTTATTTTAGTTCTTTTTGAAACTCATTGAAATGTCTCATGAAACATAACATTAAAGTAAATTGTTTTTCAAATTTAAATAAAAAGAACTATTTATCGTAAATTTAACACATGGTTGGAAACACACCTCAGCTATGATTGGTGCAAAAAAGTAATATACGCACATAAATTTGAGAGAAAAACAATTGCATTTGTTAAGCGAAAGTGGCAATTACAAGCTTACCAGTTACAATAAGTACTGTATCGGTTCTTTTGCTGTCACCGATACCGTTTGAGATAATGCACTGGTACTTCCCGCCATCGGAGAGTCTCACGTTGCTTATTTGCAACGTTCCAGACGTGATTTTCGTTCTTTGATCTGCCATAACGGGAAATAGGCCATTTGGTGTTTCTTTCAGCCATCTAAGGAAAACAAATATTAAAATAATATAGATTTCGAAACAGCATTTTGTCAGCTTCGTTATAAATGTCTTATTTTATTTTATAGCCGTCGTTGAACAACCGACACAATTTTTTGGGTTTACGACTACTAATGTTCAACTCCGTAGGCTTGTAATTTTGAACCCAATCCAGAAGACAAGGGAACTCCTGGATCAAATAATGGGAGAAATTTGCCTCATGGAGGACTTTTTTAAATGAAAGTAATCCGCATTTGTGTTACATGTAGAGGAAAACCGCGAAAACCACCCACGGTTAGCCTGATGGAAAGGGGACTCTCACCCATGATACGTCAATCACTGATGATATTTTGCGTCAGCACTGTGGTCGGTGTAAGCCATATGTAGAATTCGTACCGACGAGCAATAGTTGGGATTCGAACTCGGTTCACCTCATTGGAAGGCGAGTGCTCTATCCCCTGAGCCATCACAGCTCTCTCTATAAATATCGCCATTAATATTGAATTTTAAGAACTCGAATATCTTTCAGAAGGGCAAAGCTCTTGCTAAATAATTCATCTAACGAAAAATATTCAGCAATAGTTTCAAACACGCTGAGTGTTCCATAAAGACTACCCTTTACACGTAGTCAAGCCAGTCATCGGTGACACGGAGCTTTCCGTTTGGACCATGTCAGTCATCGGTGACTGGCAGTACAAAATATAATATAAAACTAAAAATATTACATTGTTTTAAACAAACTTATTTAAATTTACTTAATTTTTATTTATTATAAATGAAATTTATATGTATTTCAATCTGTTATTAATGCACTTCACATATCCATTCCACAATATTTTGCATACTCTGAAGAGGGTTTCTTATTAATATTTGTGGAGCACAAAAAGTTAATGTATAATTTTGTATTTCCTGTAAAAAAAAATTATGGAAATTTCGTACGTGTTAAGGAACACAAACAATTATTTATATGAGAAAAAGAAAAATTTTTCTAACCACTATCAATCATTATTGATGACGATTAAAAAAAATGAGTAATAAAGGTTTTCAAAAAGGCAATACCCAAATAAAATCTTACAGACTGGAAAAAAAATTTAATTTAAAAATAACATAAATAAAAAGAAATCTAATCAATTCTTCGAGAAGCTAAATTTAAGAATATTAATTTCTTTTCTCTACTTATTTTAAAATTTTTAATGCGTGCTCTAAATATTTAAAAATAAACGTTTGAAGAAGTAACAAATATAAATAATTTATACTCATATCTTTTTCAAAAAGTTATTTAAGAAAAATAATGAGATCCAGTTCAAACTAAGCCATGTTTATTTCACTTTATTGCCACTTTATTTGAAAAAACTTGAATAACTGCAAATAGCAAGCAAAATAATTTCCAACATAAGGACATGACAATATGAACAAATACAATTACCTTTCACAAAGTAATAGCATTCTTTTTGCACTATTTGATTAAATTCGGAGACACATCATTTTGACGGATGCACGATATAAGAAAGAAAAAGAACCTTTAAGAGGGCGAAGTGATTATTATGAATCTCCGCATCTAATTTGCATGCAGATGAGCTCCCCGAAAAAAAGTTAAGAAGAGACAAATTTCCATAATCTTTTAAAAAAAAGAAGGGGCTTCGTTTATGAAGCTTTTGTTTCGGTTGAAAGTTCGATGAGCGTGAAGGATCTAAAGAATAATAATAAGAAAAGAGAAAAGAAAAAGCACGTGACGTATAAAGCTTGAAAGAAAGGAAGGGGGTTCTAACAAGCCCTGTCATTTTCTTTATTAGAATGAGGTAAAGAGTTTACAACGTTTGGAAGTAAAATAATGATCATGTGCTCGAGATGGCCTTTATTCTGAAGTGCTCCTATAATGAAAGCCATGAATCTTTCTAGCAAAAGGCTCATTATTAAGTTTTTAAAAATAATAGTTTGTCACTTTGCCGGCTTTTAATATAAGCCCATTAATGAGAGGAATTTATCTGAGATTTCGAAAAATGCATTTTCTGGCTGCTTGAATTGCATCAAAGGGATATTGTAAAAGTGTTTTATGCGTACTTTTAAAAGTATTTTGTGAAGATAAATATTGAAGGTAATAAAGTTAAATATATAATATAAATATTAAAGCATTAACATAACATTGACTAAGTTTTTAATAACGAATTTACAATTTAATTTGATTATCAATCGAAATGGGCAGTTGCCAAACTTCTGACAACAATTAAGTTTTATTCATAATAACAATTTTAGGATAAATTTATAGCTTTATTTAGTGAAGGGAACTGACATTAATTATTGCGAAAGTTTTCTTTCAATACCTTAAAACATATTTTTTTAGCCAAAACGACTGACTTTAAACATTGATGATTTTTTTAACCGATTTAACACCAAAAATTATTTTTTAAATAGTTTCTAGATGCTTACAAATGTAAATAAAAGTTGATGGTTTAAATAGATTAAATTTCTTCTAGCTATCGTTTTTTTTTGACCAGGTCTGACTTCGCCGGACTTTAAAGAATTAGATACAACAACAAAAGATAATAAGAGTATTAAGTTTAAAAATAAGACTGTATACTTTGATCATATCCTTAACAAATGACAACAATACATAAGTTATATTCTACTGTATAAAATATATACAAAAAAAGGAATTGAGTGTTATGATGCTTGTCTTAAAAAGTAAGGTATGAAAACTCGCCATTATGTTCAGCTAAAAAAGATTAAAACAAGTACTGTTAACCTGTTCATGTACCCTTTAAAATAATTTTTATACTAATTGTGTAACTATTTCAACTATTTATTTAAATATTTCAATAACAAAATGCACTTTTCTTACAAGTGGAGTATATGGTTATCCAAAAAAAAATTTTTTAGCATATGTAACGCCAATAGTTTTTTCCATATTATAATGCTTTTGAAAACCTGATGTCCTATAAAAAAGTTATAGTGTTAATTTCATTTAAATTTAAAAATAAAATGTATGTCGCATAAGTAGGGAATATTTAGTTCATGAAACACAAAATAGCAATAGAATTTATAATTCGCTGCTGTTAATGTAGTCATTCCCACTTTTTGAGAAGAGCATATTGAGATAAATGGATTTTTCATTGCTGTTAATATAATGTTTTTAGTCGTTTTGTGAAATTTCCTTTACCTTCGTCAGATTTTTTTTCTGAAACTGCTTAGTATATTGCTTTTCTGGCATTTAACTGATAGTAGTTTACTGAGAATATTCAGCAAAGTGTTGGCTGATTTCAAAGTTAGAATTATTTTAGACAAAGAGCGAGCTATGGAGGAATGAAACAAAAGGTATGTTTTTTCGTGAGAGATATAAAAATTTTAAGCAGAAAGTTTGGAATTTCGTTGCAAAATCTTCAGCAAATGACGATGGAAGCCATCAATGAACAGTGAGATCAGTTCAAGCACTGAAACGTGAAAAGTGGTTATCTTACCGCATTAAACCATGTATTCTTTTAACTAACGTGTGCTGTTTTTAGAATTGGAATACCGCAAATCAAACATACAGTCCTGCGACATTTGTATTTTTTTCAAGTACTCATTGCGTAACCTTTGTAACTAAATTTCTGCATTAAAAATTCATTCCATTCATAATAAACACACCATTTGTTTAAATCCTTTATAATCCTTCACTACCAAGATTTTAAATTTTGAAATCAGTCAGTATTCCACTCAAAACTATTTATCTATGATAGCAAAGTTAGAAATGTGGCATTCAAAACTATGCTATAAAAACAAACTCGCAAAGTATGAATTACTCTTAAAGATTTTTCTCATAGACTGGATATGAGACACATATGGTAAAGTGTGAAAATCGATTATTTAATGTACTTAATTAGAGTGATTATAATAATATAGTACTAGTTGCAAGAAATTATTTATACAAAAATTTGGTGCACATATTATTTTGTTCGGCATTTATTTACATGGGTGCCTGCCCGGTATTCCCTACATAGATGATTTTATAAGTTTAAGAACTATTGCATGGTATTCCTAAAACTGGTATTAAACAGGTATATTCCTAATAGAACATCACTAATAAGAACCATATAAATTAACCAAAAAAAAATTTGATTTTTAATATAAACTAAATTTATTTAATAAAGAAAACGCTGCCTTCAACTCATTACTACTTATTAAAAAACAATAGAAAAGGGGGGAAAGGAAATGAGCTGTTATCTTTTACGGGGTTTACATATGACAAATCATTCTATCATACTTCATCTGAAAATCAATTTTCGTTAAACAATGCCGACGTAGTGCATAGGTTTCGCGTACAGTGCTCTCATTTCCTGTATGACTTGTAACGTAAATTCATAAGTACAGTGTAACCATTCTTCCTGGAACTTATGATATATTGTTTTTACCAATAAGATAATCTTTACATAGTGATTTGAAGAAAACAAAAACTAAAAACAAAATATTGAGCATTTAAAATAAATGTTGCAACATTTTAAATTCAAAAATTGAACTTGATAATAAATGAATTGACATTTCATAACACAAATAAAAGAAAAAGTTATGATAAGGTGTGTTGTTTATTTAAAATAATGTAAACTCACTAAAAAGCAAAAAAGATATTTTTAACATTTTTTCTAAAATCATTTTTCAAGAATAAACACTTTTAATTATATTATTTTAAAAGAAAATTACTTTTTTGTTATTTTTAATTTCTTACGTCTATGAAAGTACTTTTATACAACAATTATTATAATGTTTTGCAAATTTAAATTATTTTTTTGAAATAAATTTCTAACATTCGTATGTTTCAAAGTATTTCCAATATAAGAACTTTAAAAAAATTATTATTATATTAATGAAATAGACATTTTCATGTCTTTCATTTTTTTAACTAGTTAAAAGAAGTCTGTTCATTATCATAACACATTTCTGCTAATAAAAATTAACAAACACATCACGGAAATTCAACATTTAGAGCCATTTTTTCCAACAGTTTTAAATTGTTCTGAGAATAATATCGATAATTCCTTTTTATAGATTCCTGCTTAAATCCTATAATGGTGCTTAAAGTTCGAATATTTTAAACAGAAGTCGAAAAAAATCAAAGACACAAACATTAGAAAGTATAAAGTTTAAATATAAATATTTTTCCTAAGCGATATAATTAAGAAATCCATTTCATTCAGTAAAACTTTTTAAGTACGCCAGAGTCTGATAATAATTCATCTCTAAATTACAAAAAAAAATGTGTCTGAAATATAAATAGTAAAAATAGTAATTTAACGAAAAACTTGGAATGTTGATAAATTGTAAGTGATTAGCATAATTATGGTTTCTTTTAAAAAGCAAACATTAAAAAAATAGTTACAACATTTGCACGTCCTTGATAAAATATCTATAAAAAAGATTAGGACTCTAAAAATTAATACTCCTATTAATGAGATGTGAAAAAATTTAACAGTCGGAAAAATAGCCTGCAATTATTTAAATTGTTCTAAAAAGAAAATGTGGAAGTATTTAAGCTTCTTTTCCTCTCGTCAGAGTACAATTAAATCCTTTAGTAGAGGGGTAGTTTCAATGCTTAGTTACTTTTCGAAAAATAAATAAAAAAAGAATGTTTTCTCACTTCGGCTGTTTTATCGATTGAGAAGCACTTTTTACGCTTTGACAACCATTAGAATCCTTTAACGCAACTGTATTTTTTTCCCTCCTTTGATTTTAATATTCACTTTTGCAGAATTTTTGAATATATTTTTCATTTCTTTTCAGAATTTTTCTTCTTCGCGTTGTGTGAAATTCCTCTTTAGTTTAATTTAAATACTTGTGACGTGGTTACCGCAAGCAAAGAAAAAATATATTAATTCCATATTCTGCATTTTAAAAATTATATTTTTTCTTCTTCTTTACATTCACCTTTTCAGAACAAACATAGGTTTCTTTTGGCGTTATTCCAAGTTTTGCTTTTGAGTTGAATACCACAGCTGGTTGTGATAAACAGTTTGAATGATGAGCGAATTAAGCAAAAGAAAGCGATTATCTCAGTTCTCGAAACAAAACCAACTTTAAAAATTCATATTTTAAAAATGTGTTTTAATTTAGCGAAAACTTGAATGTTATGTAAGCAATTAACACGCTTAAAAAAGAACAATTTATTAAGTTGAAGTAAGTTCATTTAAATATGAGCAGTCATAAAAAAATAATAATAGGTTGAAGTAAAACTTGCCTTTAAAATATACTCGCATCAGTGCTTGAAGAATTTAATGCTAGAATTCGACTTATTTGATTTCTTAAAGAGTTAATCGCTGTTTGGGAAGTTTATAAAATTATTTCAGAAGTAAAGCTTTTTTTTCTTCTTTAAAATGAGCCGATTTCAACTATGTTAAGTCAAACCGAATTTTATTTCGATATAAACGGAATTTTTGATAATTAGTCTTATTTTTTGCCTCTGTTATTTCTAGAAATATTTACTCAATCATTGTTCCATTTACCCCATTTATTTAAATTTTAAAAAGGTTGCAAATCATAAATATCGTGTTTGGTTTCTTCTTATTTTAATAAAAGCTAAATACCGTTTTTAAAATTAATTTTTATTATACTATTATGTTTTATGAAAATGTTATACATTATGGTCATGTAGCGCATCTACCACTAAAATTCCAGTTTGCTATTATATAAGACATGTTAACTTGATTCTATGTCGGGGTACCTTTTTCATAAGCGAAAGTTGACGTTGTCGATAACACTCGCCCCACATGGGTGATATGTGGACGTGATCTGCACACGCCTACCTCATCATACACGTCCACTTCGATTTGAACACGCCTACTTCGATAGATGATCCACGTTGCCCAGTTAACTTGCTGTTTGTGACTGCGACATTGTCCTAATCACGCTGTTGCTACTCAGTCTCGATCACACACGACGTCTGACTGTATACACCCCACTGCTAATGACAACACAGGAACGACCGTGAACTTAGTACAGCTCTAACGATCAGCACTCAAAGTCCAGAGATCTTAATATAGCTCTCCCGACTTCTCACGAAACAGTAATGAATCAACTAGGGGTATCCGTTCATCGAATTCTATCACAGATAAAACTCTGGTTGGGGAGTACTGTAGCGTGTCTACCTCTACAACTCTTTTCATAGATGAAGATTGACATTGTCGATAACAATCGCCCAACAGACATTACAACTTTGCTTCATCTTAAATTTTATTGAGCGAACATTATATTAACAATCAGTATCGGGAAAAAAACTACTCATTTATGCTTGTTCCAGTGTTTAATAACGGAATAGAAGGAGGGAATTTATTGTAAGATTTTTATTTACATAATTGAAAGACATCAAAAAGGGAATATTTAAATATTTTGATTTGTCTGTTACATTGAGCCCTATCTCTTCCAGTGAACTTTTTACTGAATACTACTTCCAAAAATGATTGCCCATTAATTCTAAAAATAATCTTTAAAATGGAAATTAAACATTTATGACCCCTTCGTGAAAGTAAAGAACATCTGGTGTTTGGAATTTTTCAGACATATCTATATCAAGCAATGATTTTAAGTAAAACGACTTGTAAGAGGACGCTACTGTTAATCTGTTATTAAAAAGTTCAGTACATCTAAGAAATACTTGTGACGGAGAATTTTTTTTATAATACCTCTTTTAACTTTTATAGGGTGAAATGATTTGAAAAATGCCGTACGGCATTTTTCAAATCAGTTAATATACCATATGGCATATTAAAGTGACTACGAGTTACTTGATGAGATGGTTTACTGCCATGCATATGATTAATTTATATGAAATTATAGGTAATTGCGACATTATATTCACCTGTATTCTGGAGCTGGCTGAGCTGTAGCTACACACGGTATACGCACGTAACTTCCTTCACCAGCTCTCACCTGTGATTGGCTAAAAGTTACTCTAGGTCCCATTGGTGAATGTGGCTCTGTAATTACACAAATGTAGAAAGAGTACTTAACTGAAAAAACACTAAAGTAAATATTACAAGCATTGTAATGAAGAGAAAATAGAGTTTTGCGCGAATAAAGCTGTATAATGAGAAAAAGCACAAATATAGGTTCATGAGTGGACTTATAGTTTTGGTTTACATAAACTTTTCATGTAGTTGCTCTCAGTTCGCTTCTAGTTTTATAGAACATTCTTCATAGTCTTTACACAAAATGAAAGAAGAAAATAAAAGAGGCAAACAAGTTTCAATGAAAAAATAGTATAATCAGTAGGAAGAGAAACAAACTCGATCAAGATTGTAAAAGAAGGGAGATAAGAAACAAGTGTGAGAGAATTGAGTTTCCGGTTCTTGTTTTTGGAGCCAAAACTATAATTTGTCCATTTATGAATCTTTATCTGAGCTTAATTCACATTGCTTTGCTCTATTCATGCGTAGCACAATATCTACCCAATCCTCATAATAGATAGGGTCTTAATGTTTTAAAAATTTCCCTACAATCTAAGAATACAAACAGGAAATCTAAATCAGCACCACGTAAGTCTGAAAACATAGGATTATTTATACTTCTTTTAATATTTTCAAATAAAAAGAACGGACAATCTTCATTAATATTCAGAAGAAATAATTTCTCTATTGAATAACGTTTAGGAGGAAAATACGGTTTAACAACCTCATTCATTACTTATCTTTAGCAATTATGCTTCAGATGTGTTCATAAATTTCGCAGAAAACACCTTATATCATGACAAATATTTTAAAAACATGATATTAAAAATATTGCGGCAAGTTAAATATGTATAATATTTTTGAAATCTAGTCTTTAAAATAACTTTATCTATTTTAAAAATATTTCAAAAATTTCAGGAGTTGGCATTTTTAAGTTTTAGATTTTAAATAGAGCCACTTCGGACTTTTTTAGCTCGCTTTTGCACCTACAATGAGAAAAAGGGTATGGTCAAAACAACTAGAATATGGTCAAATTTGCCGTATTTCTGGCTCTATGAGAACCCCAAAAAAGAAAGTAATTTTTATCCAAGCGATTTGGTAATGACTTTCTGGTAAAACCAACAATAAAATATGGTTTTTCTTTCCATGTCGTTTGATAGTAAGGTTGGTGAAATTAGGTAATTTTAAGTGAATTAGGCAATTTCTAATTTATAAGGTAATTAGGTGATTTTAAGTCGGTAATTTTAATAGCGAAGTAAGTAACATTTACCAACATTTAAAATTATAAAGATATGCATTTATAAATGAACAAATGTCTGGACAAGACTGAACTAAATCTGTCTAAACTAAATTTACTGCCCTTTGCTCTTCAATTTTAAATTAAATAAAATAGATGGCATATTGAGAAAAAAAAAGTACAGTCGAAACTATGCGGTAAAATTAAATCGTGTTCTTTGAGGGAACAACAAGAAGCTCGATAATTTTTATGAAAGTGCATCATAATGATTTTAGTAAAATTAACAAAACATATGATTTTATAATAGTAAATGATAAAATTTGGTGAATGTGATAAAAATTTAGGAGTTTTACCATGATACCTTAGAGTGTGGAATAAACGTCATTTATTCGGTTAAATTTACGTTGAGTTTTGTATTTTTTACTAAATGCATTGCAATAAAAATTATAATTATGAAAAGCAGCATTTCCGGTAAACCATTACCATATAAATGAATGGGTTTAAATATCCTATATTTTGGTTTCAACCAGAATTAGTATGATTATCTTTTGTTTTAGAAACCATACAGTGTGGTCATTTAACCAAAATTCGTTTCTCCGTGCAAATTTTATTTTAAAGATGCACTATTACACATCAAAAAACGTCAAAATTTTTGGAAACGCATTAAAAAGCAATATTACTGCAATATTTATTCTGTGGTGCATTATTCAACTTTTGCAATACATTATGCAGGAAATCAGTCTAAATTAATGTCCATCAAAGGCCATGAGCTTTTCCTTATTATCCGCGAAGCCTAAAGGAATAGTGTGCTGACAATTTTTATCCAATTTTAATACCATTCGCACTGTCTAACGAAATGGTGCAGGGTTGTTGAATACATTCCTCAGACTCTGTGACTAAATATAGCTATTCATTTATACCTTTTTCTGTTTATGTACTATAATTGTTGACTGTACATATTGAATTTACAGTAAAAAAGAGTACTGACACCCTGAGAGTTTGTACAGGGTGCACAGCAGATGACTGATTGATTTCTAAAAAGTTTGAGGGAAAAAAAGTGATAAGGGAATGGAACAAACGGTATGTCTATTGCGACAGCTATAAAAATTTATATTGACATTTTAGCATTAAATTACCAAAACTGGAACATATCTTAATGTAATCAATCGATGACCAGAGATATTGGCTCTAGCACGAAAACGTGAAAAGAGGTTGTCGTACCAAATTCGGAAGTTTAAACTTATTAGTTTATTGATAAAATTGCTTCTTATGCTGATATATCACAGGTTAGATTACAGTCCAATGGCCTCTGTAGCATTTACAAGAACTTTGTACAACGAAAGCAGTTTAATACTATGGATACTCCTAGAGAGGTGAAAGGACCTTCATGTGATCGCCGACTCGGGTGTATCCACTCCTAGATATTTACTTAACTTGTCCCACTTACTCAGTCTTTATTTTATATTGATTTACCATCTCAATTTTACTTAGCGAGACACAGAGTATAAACTTGCGTCTACCATGGCTTCTGCTACTTCTCTAGTATTTCTTGCATAACGACAGTACAACAGGCGCCTACGGGCTCTACTACGTGATGAAGGAGTGGAGTGTTCGCTTCGCAGACAGGGACTCCGAGCACAACTTCAGTCTAAGTCAAGCAATTTAATTGAAACGGTAATCCTCAAACAAATTTCCAAAACCTCTAACTGTTACAATAGACGTACCATTTGTTTCATTCTTCTCCGATTCCGAGATTTGTAATTTTGAAATCAATCATTCATCCACAGGGACACCTTGTGCCTTTTAACTTCAGGAACAATTTTTACAGAGTAGTTTTATTTGTATGGGATCTATTGTAGACTTACCTGTGACAATAACTTTTCCTGTTGAAGGGCTCATCACGACTTCGCCCGTGAGTCGATGTCTCGCTCGACATTTGAAATTTCTCTTTCCATCGACGTCATCCACTTTATGCAGGATCAGTTCTCCCGTCGACAGAACAGTGTACTTGTCATCTGAAAATTAGATGAATTGTTTAGTTTTTTAAAAAATAAAACACATTTGTAAACAGCGTAATGCGAAAAAATATTTACATCATTGGTTTCTCTAATAAAACAATAATTTATCTAATAATAAGAGAACAAAACAAAGACTCCGGATTTCGACGATGCTCGGCTTTTTGTGTTTTGCTTTTTAGGGTATTTTCTAAAGTTTTTAGAGCATTTTGTGAAATTTTGAATTTTTTTTTAATCTACAGAAGCACTGGCTCATTCTTCGAACTTTGCACTTTAATATAATGCTATTTAATGTTTCACAGTTTCCAATTGTCCTAAGTTTAAAAGAAAGAGCTTTGAAAAGGATGGAGGATAAAGAATTACATTTCAGTTTCTCTTAATGTACAAGTTTTAATACAATTATGTGTTAGAAAAAATATTTCAGATTGAAATTTTTACTTAATTACAAAGATTATTTCTTTTAATATAAAACATTTTTCGCTTTATTAAAGGGCGTCTTTAGGTTTCAGATTATCAATCTCTGAATATCTCTCTTTCATACTACGAAGATATTAATTCTTTTAGATATTATTACATACTGATGAATGTATTAGCTTTTGTATTTAAAACGTATTTTATTTTATTTTCTATTTGACTTAAGTTTTCTTTCTTACTTTTCTTCTATATATGTCTTGTTTTCTTATTCTACTGTTTTATGCTTCTATAAATTAAACTGCATTGTATTACATATTTGACTATTTATTCTTGTATTTTTGTATTCTTTTTTCGGACCGGAGCAAAACTTTTGGGGTACAGAGAAAACATTTTTGACTTTTGTCCTAGCTTTCTCGATAGAAAGAGTTTTGCATTTTTGTGACAATTCAAGGCTGGTAACGCCAACCTTGATTGTCATATTTTTTCAATTTTTCAATTTTTACTAATTTTTCTTCGTCTTATGTGTTTGGGATATGTGTCATATTTAATTTCATAGCATATGGCTTCAGAAAAATATTTGGTTAAAATTTTAAATTTTTATGCGATATTAATTCAGANATAACTCTCTTTCATACTACAAAGATATTAATTATTTTAGATATTAATTATTACATACTAATGAATGTATTAGCTTTTGTATTTAAAACGTATTTAATTTTATTTTCTATCTGACTTAAGTTTTCTTTCTTACTTTTCTTCTATATTTGTCTTGTTTTTTTATTCTACTGTTTTATGCTTCTGTAAATTAAACTGCATTGTATTACATATTTGACTATTTATTCTTGTATTTTTGTATTCTTTTTTCGGGCCGGAGCAAAACTTTTGGGGTACAGAGAAAACATTTTTGACTTTTGTCTTAGCTTTCTCGATAGAAAGAGTTTTGCATTTTTGTGACAATTCAAGGCTGATAACGTCAACCTTGATTGTCATATTTTTTCAATTTTTCAATTTTTACTAATTTTTCTTCGTCGCATGTGTTTGGGATATGTGTTATATTTAATTTCATAACATATGGCTTCAGAAAAATATTTGATTAAAATTTTAAATTTTTATGCGATATTAATTCAGAATGTTGTGAAGAAGAGTATTTTCAAACTTTATAAATATCTGTCATTATTTATTTTCCCACTGTGAAAAAAACGCAAGTCAAAAACTGCAAAAATATGGTAACATTTGCCGTGTTTCTGACTTCATAGGAACCCCTAAAAGCTCATTAATTTTTAATGATTTTTAATGGTAAAGTTAACAATAAAGTATGATTTCATAAATAAAATTTAGTAAATGTGTTAAAATTTTATAATTTTTTATATTATAGAATTTTATTATGATACGTTAAAGCATGACATGAAAACCCTTTTATTTGGTAAAATTTACATCTCAGTTTTTCTCAATTTTTACTAAATATGTGGTAATAAAATCAGAATTTACTGAAAGCTGTTACCATATGAACGGAAAAAGAACCAATTAGCATTTTTTAATATTGTATATATTTATTTTATCCATAATCATGTCTTTTTTATCAGAAATGTCATAACCATGCAGTGCGGTAATATTACCAGAATTCTTATATAAATATGAAATGCATGGTACTCGTATTAATGTTCTCTAAAAATCAATGTAGTGAAAAAATTACGTAAACTTATAAGAAACAAAACGATGTGGTAGAAGATTTTTTAACCCTATTACTCAATATTTCAAAAACTGTTCAAACTATTTCATTCATGATTGTTCAAAGAATGCTAAAATCTCCTTTTTTAAAAACACTGACATAGAAGCGTTTTGATAAGTTACATCTTAAAATTATATGAAACCTAAAAACTGAAATAAGTATAGAATTTGAAATAAGACTAAAAACAGAAATTTATTCTAATTCTGCATTACTGTTTAGTACATAAACTTCTTTTCTCGTTATAAAAAAAAATATATTTTGCGTAATTCCTAAAAGAAATTTTTGAAATATTTTCAAAAGGCCTTTAGAAGAAAATAAGGGGAAAGTTTATTTAAAACAAATTCATTTATTTATCTAAACAAACTTTAATTCAATTATATTTTTACTTAATGAAATAAAGCAAGAGGAACAGAAATGTGTAAACAGAATTCTCAACGGAAACAAAGAATGGGTTTCAATATTTTCTTTGATTCAAATTAAATCACAGTGTGCCGCTACTTTGTTTACCAAATCTTCAAATTGAAATTGAATTCTCCCTTCGATTTATATTCGGAATGGGTTTCTTATAAATTTGCAAAATATGTAAATTTTTATCAACGATGTTTGAATAAATAATAGATTTCCATGTTTTACTTGAAAAAAAATATGTCTTAGGTAGTAGATATTAATTGAAAAGAGTAACACACTTTTCCTCACAGTTTTCTTGCGAACATTTTTATACAATTGTAACAGTTGTTTTCACTTCTATATATTATTATCATTTTGTTTTTAAATTATTAAAACTTACTTTTAAACAAAAAAAATAATTTCGTCTCGAAATCTTAATGCACAATTTCAAATTCTTGATTGCTTCAATTTGAACTTACAATTGATGAGCTTCTTATTAAAAATTAGACACATAACTAAATTGAATTTTGTTTCGCAAAATAAATAATTTGAAATTTTAAGAATTTGTTCTTCTTTATAAGATTTTTTAAAAGTTTTTCAAGAAAATATTTGGGTACAAAAAATTAGGATTTACATATTAGGTTCTTAAAAAACACTTATGTTTAAACAGGCAAAGTGTAATAAAAAATTGCAAATATACCTTTATATAATAAACATACTCTTATAACTGGAAAAAACTGGATTGGACTGGAAAAAACTAGAACTGGATTGGAAGCATTTATTAGTTCTGAAACTTGCATTTTCAGGACTTGGAATTAACCAAACTAAACTTTTCAAATTTCCCCCCGACATTTTAAGTTGTTTTATTGAAAAAACGGCTTTTCACTGATTTTTATCCTAATGGAAAATTGATTAAACCGTCAATTCAAATTCCAGTGTTTTCCATACAGTTTTGCTTACCATACAATAACTTTACCTTTTCTCAAATCATTCAACGATCATCTTTTATACTTGTTCTTAAATTTCTGCAATTAATCTATGGTTTGGAACATCTTATAAATGAAACTATGATTCAACTTTATTGTCAAACTTATATTCTACCTGATTATTATCATTCTTCTTGTATATCTTTTTCAAGTTAAGTTGCGGATGGCAACAGGATGGGCCACTAAAGTTTTAAACGTTTTTACACTTACATGATTTTAATTTGAAAGACTTTTAAGGTAAAGACAGTTTCTGACTTTTTTTTTAGTAATAAAATACTAGAACCGTGGCTCAAAGGACAGAGCACCTTCGTTTCTCTATGAGGTGACCCTTTATGCATTAATTCCTAATACGTTTCAAAATTTTTTGTACAGATAGTAAATAGATTTCTACAAGAAATGTTCTTAAATCTGGTATTTAATTTACGTACAACCTACTCTGTAAAATATTTTAGTTTACAGTAGCCATAATTTTTGGTGCTGAGATTAACTAAAAATTTTTAATGGTACACGTAGTCACAATTTTTTATTTACTTTTTCACTGTTATAGTTTTATTTATTCAACTTTTGTTTGTTTATTATTGACAAAGCATATTTTTAAAGGAATTAGAATCAATTTGTGGCTCCATTCAAAAAGTATTTTGTTCTAAAAACAAGCACATTGGTAATAGCTTCTCACTAATAATTCAAACAATTCTTATTTTGTCAATTTTTTTCACGATAGCTACAATTCTATATTTTAAAATTTGACTAGTTTTTTTTGTCGTATGCCTGTTTAGGCAGTGGGGGTGCGATTGCTCCTGTTTTTTAGTGGCGCCATCTATGGCCAGGAATTCGACATCTGCCACGCCATTCACACAGCCACAACCCGTCTATAGGGCGGGTCACATTCACACAAAAAGGAAAGGACATAGAACACACAGAGAGAGAAAGAAACATCCATGCCTTGTCCGGGATTAGAACCCAGGACCTTTCTGATGCAAGGACAGCTCCCTGCCACATACCCAGGCCGGTCGGCATGTGACTAGGTAGTTTACCCCAACACTATAAATAGCTACAACTATATATTAAAATATTTTTCAGAGTAGAAAAAAAAGGTTTTACCGCATAGTAAAATTATACTTTACATGAAATGAGAAGAAAAAAAAGTTTCGTGATTAATAAGAACGAAATTTCTGATTTAGAATAAAAGTTTCCTTTTGATCATACCGCAAATTAAGATAAAGCATTTTCAGTTATACCTTTTTTAAATTTGAAAAATTTTTTCAAGCGTCTCATAGAAAATTTTCGAACATATTTTGAATACTCATTAAACTTAAAATTTTTACAGTATTCAGAAAAATACACATATTTTTAGATAAATATTTTGAAAATGCTTCTCAGCCGCCTTCATTTTGATGAATTTCATGAATATTTATACATAAGTTCATAATACATTTCAAGAATTTTTTATGCATAATATAAAGAGATTTCTACTAGCAAAGCTC